GGGACGGGGGGGGGGCGGGGAAGAAATTTTTTATGATATATTCGAAGACACTAAAACCGATTAAATAAGCCTTCGAAATTTTCGTAATTTCCGGGATTTCAACCCTGAAACAATTTCAGAAACTATGAGCGACGCCCACTTACGCTCTCGACATCATACCCCCATCAGCCAAATCCTGCCGCTATTGGTCCCGTTCAGAAATAAAATGAATTCACTTAGTTTTGTATTGATGCTCTTACTTCGTCATGAACGGAAGGAAACTGTTTGAAATAGCATATACCGACGATATACCACCAGTTGGCATTACTGCAAATTGCCTAGTATCTGAATTAGAGTGAGAAACGTTCACACACAAGTAGGTTCCAACGATCAGGAGAAGCGTGGGAGAAGCAGACACAAGGTCAGTCACATACAGTAGTCGTATTCTTTAAACGCCGCCAACTCAGGAATGTAGACGCGCTAGTGTCTGATCTGATTCTTTGAACGCCGCCTTCAGGAATGCAAACGGGCTGCTGCTCCCCAAGGAGGGAATAGCCGACTGCCTTGTTCAGCGATACCAACATGTGCCATGGTTTCAGTAGTTCAGCTGTATTTTAGCGAAGTGTTCCTTTTTTGTACGTTCACTTCTTACATGTCACTTTAATTTAGACATTGGTCATCGTAATAAAATCATTAACTTTGTTGTTACTATGGCGTTTATGTTTGCTTTCTGTTGTGTGTTATAACAGTTGTTAAACCTTTTTTTTTCAAAGACGTGCACACTCATTCTGTATAAATGAGTATGCACGTCTATATAAATATTGTGGGCCTATCCACTGCAAGACTCTTAATTAAAAATCAACGTAACCATGGGGACGTGTACTTCTACTGTTATTTTCTCAATGAATAGGGCGTTTACAGTTAAAAGCCCTTGATTTTTTAGCAAAGTATTTTTTTTTAAATTATGTTTCTAAGGTTGAAAAAGTCTTTGTAAAAAATGGCGCAGTTTAGATGCCGGTCGGAAATTTGAGAGCCGGACAGGGATGACCGGCGAGGTGAGAAACCCTGTGATAATTATGAATATTTTATTAACATTTTAACAGAATATTATGTTACAAAAAGATGTTAAAGAGGTTGCCCGTCGAGACGCACCCTATTTATTTTTGGTTGCCCGACGCAGATATTTGGTTGCCCTGGGACGTCGGGCAGCGATTTTTTTTCCGTACGAAACTTTTGCATGAAACTTCACTCGGGCCATCTCGGATTGACTCGAGTGAGTACGATACGATGAACAAGAGCAGACACTTCGCAATGTCGTGACGCTCGAGTTTTACTATTATTGCTCTATGTTTACCTACGGTAGGCCTATGAAATCTCACGGACTTATGTGATGTACGTCACTGTGTAGCTAACTGTGACCTTCTTGGATGTTATTAAATGTTAGTATATTACTACAACAACTGCAGCAGCGTAGTACCTCCTGTTATAAAGTGTAGATAGGTAAAATTATACCAAATGCTACAGGGAAAGAGGATAAAATATAGGCCTAACTACAGGCTGAGATGAGGTCTTAACTATGGCCCTCCTTAAACTAGGCCTAGGGTCATAGCCTGACACAACAGTCACGCTTCACATACTGACATGGACTGAAATTATGGGGGTAAAAATGGGACAAAATTGAAGCATGAATTGAAAAATAGAGCGCATAAGAGAAATATTATTAAATAAATAATATACCATTCCGGTGTTATTGAACTTGTCCAAACTATCATTGTAATGTAATTAATGTTAAATAATAATGATAATTTCAGCATTAATTACCTTGGCCTAAACCTTGTAATGAAGAACCTACAGATACTGTACTATTTACTAGGCCTATAAATAATAATCGCCCAAGGGGAATATCTTTTGTTATTTCCCCTTAACGTCGTTTTTTTTAATTGTTCTCTAATTCCTCCATTGTCTAA